CACACACACACGCACACACACCCCGGGATATCACTGCAGTTATACCCATCCTGCCTGATAATTACCACCGTCAAAACTGCTAAATTTAAAAATCACAAAAAAGTGCTGTCCTCGCATGTAAATACGCCAGCCACCTGTGCCCTCAGCTAACTTTAGGTGCCAATTACACGTGACTTAAATCCAGAGATAAACGCTGCCAACACTGAAGAGAGCGGAATTGCAGCAAATATGAAAATGCCCCCCAATCTAATTATCATTAAGGAAGGTTTTGGGGGGTTGGTGGTTAATTGAGGTCAGTCTCGTGGCCGCTCAGTTATGTGTGAGCTGCCGTAATTACCTTTTCCGCTAACAAAATGCGTTACAAAGATCCGCAGCGGCAGCTGCCCGCGTGTCCGTCGCGTTCAATTGACCTCCCGATCAGAGCAGGTAGAAAAGGAGAGGGAGAGAATGAGGGGAGAGGCCGTTTCACACTTGAAGAGGCTGTTAGTGTTGACGCCCTCGGCCGGCAATTACACACAATCAGTGGGAGAGCTGCAGACCTGCTCCTCTGTACAATGGAGCCCCGCGCGCGGTCGAACCTAGGGGTGAGGCCCGCGAGCCGCTCAAGTGCGTGCAGCTGCGCGCGCTCCAGAGAGAAAAGCCGACTTCCCCTGCAATTAGCTCCTCGTTTCAGTTTTTAACAACGAAAAACTGGTTTATTATCATCTCCTCTGGCAGTCGTTTCGGTTAAAAAAAAAAAAAAGAAAGAAAAAAGAAGAAGAAGAAGAAAGGAAAAAAAAATTGGCGTCCATTTTTTGTGTGGGGGTTATTATTTATTGGTGTCTGAAGTGGCTCTGAGAAGTTATTTTCTGCTAATTGTCGGGTTTATCTTGCTTTGACAGATTTAACCGAGACTTAAATGGCACTTCAACGGTGCTGCCTCGAAATCAGTGCGACCTGCGGTGTGATAATGCTTGCTGTTAGGTCTTTGATTTAAACGTTTTAAGCGAGTTCAACCAAAAATGCTTCTTGCTGTGCGCCTTTATATGATTAAATCTGTATTATCAGAGTGTAGGTCAAAAGAATGGTTAAATGGTTCACTTTTATCTGGAATAAAAAGAAGAATAAAAAGATAAAAAATTCTAATAATTTCCCTTTGGATCTTTCCACCAGATGACCAGGAGCATGAGTGGATTGTGCGGACTTGTCGGAAGGCTTGGGATGAGGTTTGTGGCGCTGAGCCGGAAAAATCAGCTGCAGCCAGATGTGAGGAGAGCAGCAATGTTAACTTTTAGCATGTTATTTATTAAAACCGAGCTATAGGGAATTTCTGTCTTGTATTACATTTTGCATTAATGACTGAAAAGTAAATGGTCAAGTCCATGCTTTTAAATCATCTCGTTTTATTTCCCCCCCACCCACATTGCTGCTGTGGCCTATGAATTCTGGGAGGTGCAACAGCCGCCTTTTAGTGCATTCATCTTAATTTCCATAATACTGTATGCATTACAGAGAGGGAGCTAGAGGAATGGAAAGAATCTGGGAAATACATTTACAATCAGTTTACAGGCAGCACAGAATACATCCAGTTTTATTACGTGCTTTGATTGCCATACTGTATTATTTCAGATCTACATCTCACACCCAGAAGAATTAGGACAGGCAATCAGTTTCCAACTGGGTTAAACAGTCTTTATACATGCTGCCCAAACAACTCTGTTATTCTAACTTTATCCAACAACACATTCCCTATCCCTGTAATAAGAATTGACTTATTTACAGTGAATTAATGATGTGCAAAACACCACAGATTGCTGGTGTAACACAAATGCGCCATTCATGTGTGAGGGTTGGTTTTGAGGGGTTTTGGTGCTTTTTTTGCAGGGTTTTTTTCATGCCTAAATGAAAGATTTTAGCAGGCATTCAAAAGTGAGTGTATTAAACTACAATCTGAGGTAATTTGCCAAAGATAGGAAATTAGCAGGTAACATTGACAAGGCTTTGATCTGCTGGGCGAGCGTCAGGCACTCATTAAATTACTCTTCAACATATCGCCATAAACTCCCATTAGCAGATCATCTTTTTAAAAATATCAAATAAAATTAATAATGAATGAACACCCTTGAGAGCAGGAGAAATTTCCCATAATGCACGCTTTGTCTTGCACAAAAATGCAGACCCAGCACACACACGCACACACACACACACACACACACACACACACACACACACA